CCACCCCAGCTCCCTTGCTGTTTCTGCTGTGTGAAGACATAGCCTTCATTCCAACTATGTGCATCCTCTGCCCCCAGGAGGTGGGGCATCTCCTCCCATCCCATAAGTGTGGGCTGGGCAGAGTGACTTCCTTCCAAAGAATACTGTAGAAGACGGGGGAAGGAAAAGAGTAACACTACAGTGGAGAAACCTGCTGAATACCTCTCAGCCAGGCAACCAAGGTCAATGCCCTCAACAGTGACAAGTCCTTGTGAGAGCACATGCCCTTGATAGGTAGACAACGGCCCTTTCCTTTCATGGTCTTTTTTCCTCAAACACATAGCCCCCAGTCTCATTAGAAAAACATCAGACAAATCCTCATTGAGGAACAGTCTACAGATTATCTGACCAGTACTCCTCAAAACCGCGAAGGTCATCAAAGACGAGGAAAAGTCTAAGAAACGGTCACAGCCCAGAGGAGCCCAAGGAGGTGTGGGATCCCCAAGGGACTACGGCGACAAAAAGAAGGGCATGAAGGAAAAACTAAGGGAATCTGAATACTAAAGTAGAGACTTTAGTTAACAATGCATCAGAATTAGTTCACTAACTGTGACAAATGCACCATCCCAATAGAAGATGTTAATAAGCAAAACCGGACGTGATCCCCTGAATTGGATCGTGGAATGAAAATGGGCATTAGTGGGATAATTGGTGAAATCCCAGTAAGAGCCTGGAGTGGGTTAATACAGTGTTGCTTTCGTAGTTGTGACCAACGTGCCAGGTGACATATCACATCAATATCAATCAATGCCAACAGGGGGGGAAACTGGGTGAGAGGTATATGGGAAAAGTAACTGACTTTCCAAACTTTCCCCAAAAGAAAAAGCATATTCAAGAAAAAACAATAAGCTCACAGCTAAATGGGATCATGGCACATAGCAATTGCTCAGCTCATACAGTAATGGGTATTCTTTCCCATTTTTTTTCTCTGATCATGGAAATAACACATTCAGCATTTGGCAATGCCTTGGCCCTGAGGTTTAAAAATTCTGAACCATACAAAATGAATACAATAGAAAGCGAAGCTTAACCATGATTCCACTCCCCACTGCTAAGTCAACGTATTAAATTCTGGACTTTCCCCTAAGCCTGTGCAATCACTTATTTTTACATTTTTTACGGACAAGAGATGACACTCTCCATTTACGTAACGTGGTCACTGCGGATACACTGGACTTCTTTCTGCATCAAGGTCACCCCTCCACAGTACTCTTCTGGATGGCTGGGGACTGCTCCACAAGACAGACAGAGCAGCTCAACGATCATTTCCTTAAGACAGACTTGAGGTCATTGCCAATGTTCTCCCGGCCATCCATACCTTTATGAACACGTGTGAGAATTTCTGCAGGACAGATCCCCGGACACAGAACAGTGCGTGTCAGGGCCCCGTACTGCCAAATTACCCTGATTGTCCTCAGAATTGCCTGGTTTGGGGCACCTGGGCGGCTCAGTCAGTTAAGTGGCTGCTCAGGTCATGATCTTGGGGTCCTGGGATTGAGCCCCACATTGGGCTCCCTGCCCAGTGGGAAGCCTGCTTCTCCTTCTCCCTCTGCTCCTCCCCCCGACTCGTGCTCTCTCTCAAATAAATAAAATCTTAAAAAAAAAAAAAAAAAGAAAAAGAATTGCCTGGCTCCACAATGCTCAAAGGCAGCGGGGTCTGCCCTTGATCCAGGCAGCTGTGGGTGACCATTGTGACATCACAGGGGCAGGGGAGGGATGGGACACCACCCAGGAAGTCCCTCTGGATTCAGCACTGTTTGAGATGGCAGGAGGCTTGGCGATCAGCACTGTGTTTCTGGGGCCATCCACACCCAGCAGACCTGGGGCAGCAGGTGGGGAGAGGGTGCGGGACATTTCAAAAATCATACTACGGTACCATGATTTCATGGTTAGAAAATGACAATAAAAGAGGGTTACCCTAAAAGCATCCATGTATCTTTCATGTCTTCATGCAACAAATAGTAGGGTTCCTTTTATGTACTGGTTACTGTCCATAGGAGGACTTGCTACGGTGAACGAGAGCCGGCTCCTGAGCTCACAGATCTTACATTCCACTTGGAGACAAAGAACACCGTAAGTATCAGTTAGGGGCAAGTGCTACTTTGTTCAGGGTAACATCCAGCTGCTCTAACAAACTCCAACATTTCAGACTCCAAACTAGGGCCAATGGCCCCTCTCCTTCCCAGGGCTTATTTCTGTAGGGATTAGATTTAACGCACGTCTCCTCTGCTAAACCGGAAGGTCTTCTTTGGGTTCCAAGCTTTTCCTCTCCCCCTGCCAAGTCTTCACACAAGTGGACCACCCCCACTTGTCAAGCCTTGGCTCCTCGGAGTGGCCCTTCTCTGACGTCCTTGTTCCTGAGTTTTTCCTGCGAGCCATTCTGCTCGCCATTTCTGGGTGTATTTGTAATCAACCTCACAGTCTTTGGTTTGTTTACTTATTCACTTGCATGCTGTCTGTCCCCACCCAGAATGTACGCTTCTTGGGGGCAAGAACTCCCATCTCTCTTGCCCCTGCTGTATTCCCACTGTCTAGAATTGTGCCTGGCACACAGTAGGTGGTCAATAAAAACCCCAATGAATGAGCCATCCAGCCTGTATGTCTCAAATTTCTCAACTGTAAAACAGTCTATACCAACCCGCCATCTCACCAGGGGCTCCTCTGGGACCGTGTGGGTTAGCTTTAAAAAGTAGTTAAGAGTTACAAAATTGGATCTACACACAAATCAATAAATGAAAAGGTACTGCTGAGTCTATATGCCAGGTGAGTAACTCTGAGTAACTCTGTGGACTTGCGCTTCAAGGTCATGGTTTTCCCACCTTGCTGTGGGTTGGCGAGTAGGGTTCTGGAAGCTTCTGGCTGCATCCCCTCGGGCAAAAAGCACTAACTGTTCACTGGCCCCTTTCTTCCTCTGGAGAGCCCAGCTTTATCCCAAAGGGCAGAGTGCTCTTGAAGTAAGGCAAATGATCAGAAGGAAAGTTGCTGGGTGGGGTGTCTGGGAAAGCTCTTTACAGGATAATGACTCCTTTTGCACCCCACCCCCTCCTCTTCTTCCATCCTGCTTGGACAGTAGACAGGGTTGAATTTCCAGCTGGGCTGAGGCTAGCCTTTAGTGTGCCTTTGTTAGAATTAGAAAAGGACTTCCACTGTGAGCAGTCAATTAGAAAACAGCTCCTGTGGGCAGAAGCCTGCCTGTGGGTGCTGGGCCTGGCTTGGCAAGCAGAGCACAGGCTGGGTTTCAGTTCCCACTCAATCCCTTGGCTGGGAGCTTTGAGCAGTACACAAACTGCACGACTGTCCATGGCAGCCCTGATTTTGGACTAAAAGACAACTTGAGAAGGGAAAGCACTTGCTGAAGCCAGGCCCTTCAGAAGGGTGGAGCCCCTACACCAGCCTTGGAAGACCATCTTCCTAACTTCTTTTCTTTTTTCTTTTAATAGTTTTAATAATTTATTTTGAAATACTTTCAAAGTTACAGAAAAGTTGCAAAAACCATACAAAGAACTCCCATTTACCCAGGCTGGTCTAGTGTTAACATTCTATTCCGTTTACTCCACTTTGCCCCTCTCCTTCTGCCCTCCCTCCCCCGCTTTCCCTATGTAGATACGTGCTTATGGTTACTGTCCCTTTTCTGAATCGCTTGACAGCGGTTGGCAAAATGATGCCCATCATGCCTAAATACTCGGGCGTGTGTATCCCCAACACAAGGACACGATCCGCCAAAGCACCTCTGACTTCTTAAGTCAAACCTAAAACTCCCATCCAGAAGTCAGTTACGTTCAGTTTTTGGTTGTAACTAATCACCTCTAATTCTAACTTCTACTCTCTTTATCCCTAAGACTCACGCAGGGCATGGGAAGGATTGCACAAAGCTCCAAGTGGGCTGGCCCCATCTTGCCCAAGCTTGCCTGTGCTCTCTGTCCCGACCACCGGGGGGGGGGTCCCCCTTCGATTCCACACATGTGCCAAGCACCTCTCAGCCTTGGGACTTTTTTTTTTCCAACTGAGGTGAAATTCACATAACAAAATGCACCATTTTAAAATGAACAATTCAGGGACATTTAATAAGTTCACACTCCCACTGCCCCAGAAGGAAGCCCTGTGCCCACTAGGCAGTCACTCCTCATGTCCGTGCTCCTGAGCAGCCACCTGTGGGCTGGTGTGTCTACAGACATCTGTCTTCCGGACACTTCATATAAATGGGACCTGTGCGGTGTACTGCCTCAGAACCTTGCTGCCACTGTTCCTTCTCCCAACATGCTTTTCCCTCCTCCAACCCTGACTCATCCCTTAGGAATTCACTTCACCAGTGCTTCCTTAGGCAGCTTTGCTAGCGCCTCCCGGAGGTCAAGTCCTCCCCAAGCTCTTAGACCTCAGAAAACCCCCTGAGGGGCCCTTAGCATTTTTCACAATTTCAATTATTCTGTGTGGTTCCTTTGTTCATATTTCCCATAGTTTGGGTATAAAGCTGATTAGGCAAGAACATGTTGGCCTTATTTATCCCTGGATGCCAGGGCCTAGCCCAGAATCTGGCCCATAGTAGGTGTTCAATAATTTTTTGTTAATTGAGTAACTGAGTGAGTGAGTGAGTGAGAAGCCTTCTTGTCTCCCCAGGGCTGGTGACCTCGGGGCGGGTGTCACATGGCCCCACCCTGCTCCCACCAGGGGCCTCCCACATGCCCATATATGGACACGATCAGGGCAGCTCTGGCCAGGGTGGGCGGGCGGGGGGGGGGGGGGTGTCTGTGAGGTCCAGGCCTCTGTGACCTCACAATGCCCAGGGGCCCCCCCATGTCTATAAGAGGCCCAGGAGTCAGCCCCCGGGCTCACAGCCCACGAAGTTCCACCTGCTCACAGGTTGGCTGGCTCAACCCAGGTGGTCCCCTGCTCTGAGCATCCGGGCCGGTTCCATCCAGCACCATGGCCAGATACAGATGCTGCCGTAGCCATAGCCGGAGCAGATGCCGCCGCCAAAGACGGAGATGCCGCCGCCGAAGGAGACGGTGCTGTCGGAGGCGGAGAAGGAGAGGTGAAGGGGCCGGCACCCTGTGGTTGGGGAGCTGGGGAGGACCTGGAGGGGCAGGGGTCCCACCGTGCTGAAACTCCCTGTCTCCGCCTGTCCCCCTGCAGCGTGTTACCGCCGCTACACCATGGTGAGGTGTAGGAGAAGATGAACGCACAGAAAACACCGGCCCGCCGCACTCCTGCCCGCACCACTACCAGCCGCCAAGACCCTCCTGCCGCCTCGTGAACATGCCACCAGTTCAATGACATGAACAGGAGCCTGTCAATGAACAATGCCGCCTGTCAATAAATGATGAAAAAATCATTCCTCTCGCCTCTTTGCCTTGAGGGGGCTCGGTGGGAGGGGGGGAGGGCTTGGGGAAGAGGCGACACGCGTGCCAGTGGTCAGTGGATCTCGTTCCGAAAGGAATCTGCCCTCCCACCCCACCCCCATGCCCCCTGCAACCACCCCTTTGTGAGCCCCACCCGGTGGCCACAGGAGGCTGGGTCCTGGGGGCAGCTTGACATGGGCTACAGAAGCGGGCTCAGGGCTGGCTTCCCACCCCCAGAGAACCAAGGAAACTTTTACCAGCTCCAGATAAGCTCCAGGTTTATCTCTATCTCACTTCTCCCCCAAGTGCCCACTTTGGTTTCTCTCTGCTTCCCGTGCTGGTCCTGTGGCAGCCCTCGAGGTTGGTGCATAGTGATGGTGCCTTGCCCCAGGTGAGGGGCAGCGGAGCGAAGCTGAAAATAACCTCCCTGGTTGAGGAAATGGGGTGACTTGTCCATCTCGCCTGCCCACTCCTCCCACGGGATTCGTGGAGGGTTTAAAATCCCAGGGAGCCGTGGAGATGGCTCATGAGACTCTTGGACACTTTGAGCCAAGCAGACCTCAAAGAGCCTGTCGATTACAATCATCCCATGGTGGCAGAGCATAGCCCAGGGCAACTCCTCAGTGAGCAGGAGCTCAGTGACCCAATGCCCTAAAGTGACAGGGCTACCTAGCACCTCAGAAACGCCCCTAGTCATGACTTCCCATTTATTGAGCATCCAGGCCTCAAACTAGTCTTGCAACACAGGAATAGAGATGACCCTGTCTCTTCAGGTAAGGACACAGAATGGGACTGAACCTGCTTGCATGACCCCAGTCACTAGGTGGCTTCCTGGACCCGGTCAGATAATGGCAGGATGGCTGGACACACAACCCCCTGCCCCCCGCCCCATAGCCAGCAAGCTCTAGCCATGGAGATGGAGGTGATCCCTGGGCCTTCATATTAACAGGTGCCATCCTCAAGGGCACTAATAACCACAAAAGACTGAGGCACTAATAACCGCATATGAATACTAGGGTGGAATTAACAAATTACCACAAATTTCAATGCTTAAAACACAAATTTATTCTTAGTTTTGCAGGCCAGGATTCCAAAATGATTTAAAAACCAAGGTGTGGGCAGGGCTGTGTTTCTGGAGGCTCTGAGGGAGTAGAACTGGTTTGTCTTTCCCAGATCCCTGAGGCCACCTGTGTTCTCTGGCTCATGACCCCTGTGTGACCACACGGGACCCACTTATCGCACGTAAGGTAACCTCCATGGGGGAGACGCCTCATTCAGTTGCTCTGATTCTGATTCTGGATTTTAATGGGATCATCAAAGGACAGTGAGGCCCAGGTGACATGAAGATGGCACGTTTGGAGGGCAGCCTCCCATGGGCACAGACTGATGCCTAGCCTGGCTCCTTGTTTGTCACGCTACCTCCGTATGCCTGTTTTCTGGAAAAGAGGAATTGCAGAAGGAGCTGATGTACGGAAAGTCACTGAACCAATACCTGGCCTACGGTGATGTGCAGAGAACCCATATAAACTCCCAGATCATGGCACAGCCCCCAAGTGGGGAGGAAGCACCAGAAATGACATGGACAAGAGATGTCCTTGCGGCGACACATTTTTCTAGACAAGGCAAGGGTGGCTTGCCCTTCCAGACCCTGCTGGCTGTGAGGGGACTGGCCAGGCCAGGGTGGGGTGGGGACAATGGTGGGGTGGGGCCCCCGAGTCATAGTGGGGGGCCGCCTTTATATACAAGTCCCCAAAGAGCTGCCAGCAAACCAGACCAACATTAACAGCAAGAGCAGGTGGGCAGGCCTCAGCCCTCCTCCCCCACCCCCACGGCCAGCTGCAGACTCCACCTAAGCCACCTGCCCAGCCAGCACCATGGTCCGCTGCCGCGGGAGGAGTCCGAGCGAGCGTCCACAGCAGGGGCAGGGCCATGGGCAGCAGGGGCAGGGGCAGCAGCAAGAGGGCCAGGAGCAGGAGCAGACAGTGAACCAGGAGGACATCCCGGTGGAAGGAAGGACCCACAGAGACCGCTATCACTATAGACACAGGCACTGCTCCCGGAGGAGGCGGTACAGGATCCATAAAAAGCGGCGACGCTCCTGCCGGAGGAGGCGGCGCCGAAGATGCACCTGCAGGCACGGGAGGCACCACAGAGGTCTGGCCAGTCCCCGCCCCGGACACACCCTGCCCCCTGGGACACCCTCTCCCCGCCACCGAGCCCCATCCCCACGGCCCGGTAACCCGAACTCTTTCCCAAAAGGCTCCAGAAGGGTCAGGAGGAGGAGATACAGAAGGCGGTGCTAAGCCTTCCTGGGCCCATCACAGCCCTGGATGGGAATTAAGGAAAAGTCACCCACCAAAGAACCACCTCACGAGACCACAGACATCCCCCGACGTCAGATGCCGAAGCCCACAACATCTTGACTACAATGAGCAAAAGTCATCTGCCAAATAAAGCTTGAGATAATAATACACTTGGCTGTCAGGGTCTCCTTTACACAAATGGCACTGATATAAGAGTAAATGAATATGATAAAACTAAATCCCGTACTGTGCTGGCGGGTCACCCTGTGACACTGTGGGTACCTTCCATCACCCAGATTCAGGGTTTCCTGCTGGGCCTCACTATTCTGCCTTAATATTCGGGGGTGCTGGGTAGCTGGGGAAAGTGGGACTTGTGACCGAGGTGGACATGCTCCAGCAAGAACAAGGCCAGCATGGAGGGAACCAAAGCCCCTTGCAGGACGGAGTGAGGCCTTGTGCACAGTCTGAGGCCCTGCATTGCCATAGACTTTTAAGGCCCTGCTCCCTCTGGAGGCTCCAGGACAGAACCCATTCCTGCCTCTGGAGTGAAGCGCCTCCTAGTTTTCTTAGTGTTCTAATCCCTGCTTCCGTGAGCACACTGCCCTCCCTGTGTGAAATCCCTCTGCCTCTCTTATAGGGACACCTCTGAGCACATTAAGGGCCCACTTCAGATAAGCCATGGAGGGTCCTTATTCAGCAGACCACAGCCACTGAGGATTGGGGGCAGAAAATTGGCAGGAAATCCATTTTCCATCCTAAGTGCTCAGGAAGGACTCCTCCCCTCCCATGCTGAAAACTGTGTGGTATGGGCGTGTGTAAAGAGACCTGTGATCCCCAAACAGGAAAGACTTAGTAGGGAGGGTTTTCTTTAGTTTTCTAGGAGCATAGCTTATACATAGAGCACGAGTTTTAAGTATACCCGTGTGGCCTCCCCCACCAGCCCCCTTCCCTGGCCCCAGGTCAAAAAACCAGACATTTCCAGCCCCTCCCTCATGCCAATTCCCCCAAAAGGAGCCACTATTCTGATCCGTCTTCACATACTGTCAACAGCTCTCTCTCGGGCTGGGTATTTCTGGAATGTGGGGAGGAGTCTGTGGGCTCTCCTGCTTCTGGAAATTCTATCCCCATCTGTCATCCCAGCTAAAAGGGGGCCTTTTGCCAGCACAAATGAGGCCTGGTGGAGGGGGTAACATGGCAAGGCAAGGGGGCCGGCCTGGAATTCTCTGACCCAGCCTGCAGGTGGTGGGAACTTAGGGGAGCTGCTGGTGGCCGGGATCTGAGTCAGGTGTTGGTCCAGGACTCAGGTATCCAAGGGTGGGGCTGGGGGGCTCCAGGGGCCCCTTTGTGATGTCAGCGCCCTGCCTGCTGTCCTCACAGCCCCTCCACTTTGCCCCCAGTGGCCTTCCTGCCCAGTCTGGAGAGGCAGCCAGAGCGGGCAATGGGTTCCCGTTGTGCCAAGCTCGGCACAGGCCACAGCCGGGGCCATGAATCCTCCATGAAGAAGCTCGTGGCCTGCGTGAGTCAGGATAACTTCTCCTTATCGTCCGAGGGTGAGGAAGAGGAGGAGGGAGAGGAGGAGGAGGAGGAAGAAGAGCTCCCGGTGCAGGGGAAGCTGCTGTTGATGGAGTCCGAGCGGCGGGAGGAGGAGAGCGCCGAAGAAGACCCTGTGGCCCAGCAGAACCCCGAGCCCAAGCAGACGCATGCCTGACCCACGATGGTGGCCCAGGAAGAGGGGCCTGCCACTGTTCCAGCGAGAAGAATGTTCAGAAAAGAGTCAATAAAAAGTCTCCAAGGACTTCTGCTCTCCTGTGGTGCCACGAGTTTGTGTGTGTTTCAGGGAGGCTGAAGAGCAGGAGTCCGTGACCCCTGTTCCTGAGGTCCAGCCAGAAGTTCTCATGAGGCTCACCCCCATGAATTCTCAGCCACCCTCCCCTGCTTCGGGGGGCTGGGAAATGTGGTAGCCAGTGCTGTCGGGGGTGGGGCTCAGGGAAAGGGGGAAGATTCGTCTCTGAGTCTGGGCAGATGGAGGGGGGAAGCACCCCATGGGCCAGGGAGCTTGGGAGTTCAGCAGACCTGGGCTCCAATTTCTTTCTGCTAGCTGTGTGACCTTGAGCAAGTCACTGTCTGTCTCTGAGCCTCAACCTGCCCCTCCCTGCTACCCCACAGGTTAATTCGTTTAGGAGAAGTGACCGCGGGGGATGGGTGGGATGAGGCCTGGCACACAGGAAGTGCTGCTGGGGTCATGGTGGTTACACCTGCCACTCCAGCCCTGGTTTGGGGCTCAGAACATAGGGAGGGGTCTCGAGTCCTCTGCTACTATCCTCACACTCAAGGTGACCACTTGTGCAGCCCCCCCCACCCCCGCCAGAGGCTCACTTCTGCCTTTATCAAGGGGTCCAGCTGCCATTGCCCTCATCACAGCAACGGGCAGCGGGAACCCAGACCCAGAACCGGGCCCTGCGTCTGCTTACTCTGGCCTTCGAGAAGCATCAGAATGCATCTGTGGCCCATCCTGCCCTGACTCCCTTGACTCTCCTCTTTCCAAAAGAAAGGACAAATGTGTTCTCCCCCCTTCCCTTGGTCCCCCAAGCACTGATCGGGGCTGCTGGGGAGGGGTTGCAGGGGACACAGTATTTCCACGGGAACCTCAGTTTCTCTGGGAGCTATACGTGAGGGTAAGGAGGGGCCCTGAGTTACTCAAGGGGGAGGCCTCCACTGAGGCCTTCGGCAGGCGGAGGATGGGTGTCGCCTGAAGGAAGGGGCCCTGCTGTGGCTTGGTGGGCTGGTTTGGTCCTTCTGTCTACCTGCCCAGTCATTCGCCAACATCGATGGAGCCCCTGCTGTAAGCCAGGCACGACGGGCCCTGAGAACACTAAAACACAGTCTCTGTCCCACTATGCACTCGAGGGTGGGGATGTGGGGAGTCAGCCATGGAGGGGTGGTGGGAGGGTGGGGGGCAGACGGTAGGGGGGAGAGGGTGGGGAGGAAGTGGGGGAGGGGAGGGGAGATGGTCCAGAGACCCAGAAAGGGTCTTCACAGAGTGGCCCAGCAGCGATCTCCCAACCAGCCCCACCGAGCCCACACAAGGCCAAGCCATAGGAACAGAGCCGCACGCGCCTTCCGTAATCCCCACGGGTCCCTTCGTGACCGGGAGGCGGGAACAGAAGGGGCCAGACCTGGATTCAAAACTGGTCACTCAGAGAGTCTGAGCCTCTTTCCCGTTTTTACAATCTAATGATCATACCTACTTCCCAGGGTGCATTCGTTTCTTAGGGGCCCAGCTGGATAATCCAGGATGTTCTCGAGATCTTTAATTTACTTACATCTGCAAAGATCCTTTTTCCAAAAACGCTCACTGTGACAGGGTCCAGGGATTAGGACATGGACATATCTTTGGGGGGCCACCATTCAGCCCACCACACAGGGTTATGGGGAGGCTTGAGGGCAGAGCTGCCTGGGCAGGGTAGGGCCCGGAGGCCAGCCACACAGGAAGTGCTCAGTCAATGAGAGTAGTGTTCACCGTGACTGACGGGAAGTGCTTATTACTGACCTACAACAAAAGCAGATTGTAGCAAAGCCTCACAACAAGGTGCAAAGTTGTGCATGAGCAATGGAGAGAAGTGGAGGCTGGCTGGGGGGAAGGGAGAGGGAGTCCCATGGCAGGCGAGAATAGGAGGTACAGGCCAAGGGGCCAAGAGCTAAGCCCTTGCAAGGGCTTCGGCCAAGGAGTGGGGAGAGGCAGGTGGCTGCAGACGGAGCACCGGACAGCTCTGATGGGGCAAACGCAGGTGTGGGCTTTCTGCTCTGGGAACTGGGAGGTCTGAGCAGGGCCAGGGTGATTCCAATCGTATGGCAGGGCTCCACCAGCAAGGAGGGGAGCAGGGTGGGCAGGCGGGAATCGGGAGAAAGGCAGGCTCTCAGGGGTGTCCTGGGGCTTGCTTGGGCACCTCAGGCTCAGAAGAACACCCCAAAGGAAGGAATGATGTCCCTTTGTTGGATAAGGAAAGCAAGCCTTGAAAACCAAAATACTCTACCCAAGAATGGACATCAGTGCAAACTGGGGAGGCGAGTTCACCAGGCAGAGCCCAGGACCACCCATCAGTCTGCCAGGGACTCTCATCCAACCTGCTCAACGTCCGCCAGCCGGCCCACTGCACCGGGGTCAGAGGCGCTCCTAGCTTCCATGCCGTGTGGGGGGAAAAATGAGACGCACTGGGAATGCTTAGACAAAGGGTACTGAGCTCTTTCTGGGGGCTGGCCCCAAGCCAACCGCTGGACATCGCTTCTCTCATTGAACTCATCCGATATCCTAGGAGGGAGGCGTTCATATTGTCTCCGTTGTACAAAGAGGGGAACCGGGACGTGGAGAGGCCAATGCCCAGGTGAGCGACCAGAGGAAAGGAAACAGCAGATCTGGGATACAGGCCCAGCTCCATCTGACCCAAGGGTCCCTACTTTTAACCAGCAGATGGGACTCCCCCAGAGTACCCCTGCAAGCGGCCCCACCCTGGGGCGACGGTCAGGGGCAGGGGCTTTGTCCCGTCTGGCCACATCTGTTACACCCACGTGGTCTGTGCCATCACAATCAGCCCCAACTATATAACTAGGGGCCGTCGGGGCCTCTGTCAAGCTGGGTGTGCCACAAGAGGAGGAGGAGGTGGCCTCTGCCCCCCAAGTGTGGCCTCCCATGGACACCAAGACACAGAGCCTTCCCAACACCCACACCCAGCCCCATAGCAACTCTCGGCCCCAAAGCCACACCTGCAGCCCGTGCACCTGCAGCTCCCACTGCCACACCTGCAGCCAAACCTGCAGCCGGAGCTGCAGCCGGAGCTGCAGCCGGAGCCGGAGCTGCAGCCGGAGCCCCACTGGCTACCAGAGCCAGATTTCACACCCCAGCCCGCCACCGAGGCACCAGAAACACACCATGCACTCCCACCACTGTTCCCCACGGCCCACCACCCATTCCTGCAGCTACCCCAAAAACAGAAAGAATTTGGAAGGAAAGGTGAACAAGAGGAAGGTGGTCAAGAGGAGACAGCAGGTGTATAAAACAAAGAGGCGGAGCTCAGGTACCTTTCAAGCAGGCGGGGAAGGGCCACGAGGCCGACCCCCAGGTGAGGGGGAGCAGCCTAGGTGGACCCCAGGGTAGCGAGGCGAAGGCTGCGTGACCACAGGAAGCACAGGCGAGGGGGATAAAGGAGAAGTTGTACAGAGGATGCACCAATGGACTAGTTCTTGCAATAAATTGGGATGGGTTGATTGGGAGGATGGACAGATTGCAGATTAGCTAGATGGAAGCATGGATGGGTAGATGAGACGCTGGATGGGTAAGTCATTTGTTAAGAAGGTTGGTTGGGAGAGGGATGGGTGACAGGGTTAGGCTTGAGGAGAGGGAGGGATGAAACATCAGCTGAATGACTGGAAAGTGGAATGGATGTTGCATGGTAGGGTAAATCTGATTGATGCTCGTAGGGTAACAAATTAGTCGGTTGAACCAATAGTTGTGATCAGATTGTTTGGATATGGTAAGAAGAAGCTGAATTGGTTGGACATACTTGGACAGCTGAAGGTAGGAGTATTGATGGTTGAGTTGGTTAAACAATGATTGGCTAGGTGGGTGGATGATCAGATTAGTGGATGGATTAATGGGTAGATGAGCTGACCGGATGGTTAACTGGATGGATGAATGCACCTATGGATGGAAGCCTAGATGTCTGGACAGACTGAATGGGCAGCCTGGATATAGTTTAAAATGAAGCCATGTTGGATAAATGGATGGAGTGGGTGAATTTGTGAATGGGTGGGTGACAAATGGAATAAATGGATGAATTCACAGATGATCCTTTTGATCTTAACATTCTAAACTCTAGCCACACACCCCGTATTTAGTTACAAATGAGCAGTCCAAACCGCAAAGAAGGAAGTGAGTGCGTGAAGCATTCCACTATTAAAGGTCCCTTTCGCATTCCCACCCCTTAGGGCGGAGATACAACTGAGACAGCACCCCATGGCTTGTTCCTGTGTTGGTTTCACCCAAATAAGAAACGCCATCTCACGTGGAATGCTAGAAAGAAGTCCACCTGTATGCAGGAACATGGTACTACAGTGATTTCTATGCAACCTTGATTAAAGCTTGTACACTGGATGACTATTCCTTGTGTGGGCATTTTGATTTCACTAGAGGGGGTCACATGTTTTGGGGCCTTGGCGTGGAAGCTGGAAGCAGGGAAGAGGCTGTGCCAGCCCAGGAGCAGAAATGAATGTGGGCTGGAGATTCCCAAGAAGACTTCGAAGCCAGCCAGGCAGCCCTCTGCTTGGGCAGAGCCCTCTTTTGCCCTATATGCTCCCACCTTGTGCACACAAGTGTGCACATACACACGGGATGCCCACAGGCCCCCACCCTGTTCATGCAGTGACCCACATGCAGTAGACAGGAGGGGGGCTAGGAATGTGCATTTTGAAGTCCAGACCACCCCGAGTTTGAACCCTGCTCCTATTTCCCTGCTGTGATGCTGGGCTGCTGATCAACCTCTCTGAACCTGAACCTCCCTTGTTCCAACAAACTTTGGCGCTGTGCTAGGCTCTGGGAACTCAGAGGGCACACACGGCATGGAAACCCAAGATCTGCTAGTCACAATTAAGTGGTATCAAAGGAGCAAGGCCATATAATGCAGAGCAACTGTGGACCTGAGGGAAGAACATTCCGGGCTCAAAGCTAGAGCATGTGCAAAGGCCCCAAGGAGGGAGAAGAGCTTCAGGTGTTTCTGGCATAGGATCTGCAGGTGGTGGGACAGGAGGTGGGGAAGTGCCAGGTGGGGGCCAGGCCATGCAGGGATTTGCATGGGGAGCTTGGCCATTATATTTGGTGCGAGAAGTCACAGGAGGGTCTTAAAATGGGGCAAGTGAGAGGGTTCTGTGTGCTTTTAAAGATGGTGTGAGCTGCAGTGTAGAGACTAGATTATAGGACACAGAAGGCACACAAAGAGCCGTTGGCAGGGTGGGGCTTGCAAAGAGGGGATGGTGGCCTGGGCTGCAGCACTGAAATCAGGAGAGAACTTCACAGTCTTCTCATCTGTAAAATGGGTGCTCCTGGTGGATGGCTGGGAGGGAGGGCTCAAAGAGGTGGTGGTTGTGAGTGGTATGAAGCCTGGGTGCTCTGCACCTAGTAGGCACTTTGCAATTAATACGGCATCAAATACCAGACGGTGGGAATGGTTAGGGTCCCGTGTAAATCACCTTCCAACCCAGAAGCCTCTTGGGGTCAGACCCAAGTTCCCAGCTGGGGGAACTCAAATCCCCCTGAGACTCCCGTCTTGCCTAACGGGGTAACCTAGCACCGCGCCAGGCACATGGATGCTTGGTGCTCCCTTCTGTTTCATTTGACATTTGGGCTAACAGAACGGGGTGGAACACACGGGGAGGTGGGTGGGTGTGGAAATGATGGGGGTGTCTGCAGAGGAGGGAAAGGGACCAGAGGGGGAGCCTCGGGGGAAGGTGGTCCTTTCATCACATATACATCAACCTGAGACTAATATCCTGCCGGACGTCAATTACAGGGAGTGGATCCAAGTTCCGATGCTCGTGCCCCAGGTGGTAGCAGGAAGTACAGAGTCTCCTGTGAGGGCTCTGCTGTGTGGCCTTAGCAAGGCATTTTCCCTCTCTGTGCCCCCCTCCTCATCTCCCAAGGTGTCGCTGGGCAGGGGGGATTCCCTGAGATGATGCACACGCGAGCGTCCAGCACAAGGCCTGGTGCACAGTCTGCGCTTCCTGGGCCCCTCTCCGCCCCTCACAGCAGGGAAATGTTCCAGGTGGGCACCGCGCACCTGAGAGGATGTGGGGAAGGGCCCAAGCGGGCTGGGGAAATAACCATGTTCGGAGCACCTATGAGGCGCCAGATGCTTTGACATAAATGTTTCCACTGCATCCACACACCTAAGCAGGAGGCAACACTGCTCTGACTTGACAAAGCAGCTGACTCAGAGGTGAAAGAGCTCGATAAGGTCGGCTGGAGGGCATGTCTGAGGTTAGACCTTCATGCTTTGCCCAAAACCACCGGTTTCCTAGTAAAAATGTAAGGCCAAGGGGCACCTGGGTGGCTCAGTCGGTTAACAGAACCTGACTCCTGATTTCAACTCGATCTCAGGGTCATGAGTTCAAGCCCCATGTAGGCTCCATGCCCAGTGTGGAGCCTACTTATGAAAAATAATAAATAAAATAAACAACATACATACATACATACATACATACATACATAAAGGGCATAATCTGGCCAGATTATGCCATGATAGTCACTGACACCTCAGGGCAAAAGAGTCTGGGAAGCACATTTTAAGGGAGCAGGTGGAGACAAAGTGTTAGAAGATAAGGTCAAGGACTTTGAGCCCTACTCATCAAAGGGCCTCCTTATTCCCTGGACAGTGTCCTTTGATGATATGATCACTGAAGGCAGGAGATCTTCTACTGTGGAGATAGGATCTCTGTAATAGAGGAAGTCAACTGGGAAGCAGACAGGCTGGGTCGCATGGACCCATCCTTAACCCCACAGCTCCCTGATACCAACGCTCAGGAAAAAGTTGCACAAACACACACAGATAACCACCAGTCACATAGACAAAGAAATCGCCATTCAAGCCCACTCAGACACAGAAAGCTAGGTTTACATGTGGACTCCTAAACAGACACACACACACACACACACACGCACGCACGGGCTCTCACACACGTCCCCTCCCACACTGAAACACACTCCAGCAGGCGCTCACAGGCACACAACCCCCTCTCGTAGTCAGTCACTTGATGACAAGAGGAAAAACATCAAACCACAGATTCATTCTTTCACTTGCTTGGTTTCGGGTGGGGAGGCAATAGTTTGGGGGCAAGTCTGCTGGAAACCCAAATTCAGGAAACATAAACAGATGCTAAATACAGCCACCGAAAGGCCATGCAGATTCTGAAGGCAACCTGCCTTGCCTTTCTGGTGGAGAGATGTCATTTGGGTGGGATATCGGGAGGGGGGTGGGGGACAGGGAGTGTGGCCTGAGAAATAGCAGGACACAGCCTCTCCTAAGGGGACCCAGCGGTCCTGGGGGAGACGGAAGCAGATCAGGAGATCCTGGGTTGCCATGCCCATCTGAGGAATGATTCAGGAGGAAAAAGAGCTCACACTCCTTAGCCATACAGACCCAGATTCCACTCCCAGCCCCCTGACTCCCCCCGCTCGCTGGATGACCCCAGGCCTGTCTCTTAACCTCTCTGAGCCTTACTTGCATCTCACGCTCTGTGAAGAGGTCCAAGGGGCCCCTTGATCTTGATCGCTCCATCCCCTGAACTTAGCAGGGTGCTGGTACATAGGAGGAGCTCGGTGAACAGTTGTTGACTCGATCAAAGAATGAGCAGCCATTAAAGCAACAGCGAGTTTCCAGGTATGTACCCACTGCACGGGCATAAATGGAAACAGGTGGACTACACCAAGTATTGGCGAGGATGCAGGTGAGCAGGTACTGTTGATGTGGCTGCTGAGGGGGTAATCGTGCATGGCCACATTGGCAGGCAATCAGGACGTGTCTACTAACATTTAAAGTGCGCAGAGTGTTGGGGCGCCTGGGTGACTCCATCGGTTAACTCTCAATTTCTGCTCAGGTCATGATCTCGGGGTTGTAGGATTGAACCCCGCATCAGGTTCCATGCTGAGTATGGAGCCCACTTGGGATTCTCCATCTCTTTCTCCCTCTGCCTCCTGGCACCCCCATGCTTGTGCATGCACTCTCTTTCTCTTAAAAAAAAAACAAAAAATATACAAAGTGTTTCTCACACGCTGGCACCAAGAGCCAAAAATTGGAAAACAACCCATGTGCCCATCCATAGGGGATGGCTGTATGAACACACAGGGGTCGGTGAGGAATACCGCCCAGTTTTTTAAAACAGTGGGGGTTGATCGCTCTATCCAGATCACCAGCAGTGAAAAGAGCAAGATGGAGAAAGATATATCATTTACAGAGGAAAATAGTCTACCCAGAGCAACACTGTATTTATATGGGGGCAAAGGCAACTATGTGAGTACATGGGAAAAGATCTGGAAGCAAAGAGGCCAAGCTGGTGCCTGCGGTTACATCTGGGGAGGGGAAGTGCTTTCATTGTTTCATACGGGGAAATGAAAAAGTAAATTAAGGAGAAAAAAAAGGAATGAGCGTCCGTGAGGAATCTAGTAGGTGCTCAGCAATGCTTTGTTGACTCCGGAAAGAGACAGTGAGGGGAATGTTGTTTATCAACTCTGTGCCCACAGAGCAGTCTGGGCTTGCTGGTCCAGGCAAGGTGGCCCAGAAGGCGCGCCCCAGAGGGACTCATCGCTGCGGGGTAGGGCACGCATGGCCTTCCCCCAGCCCAACCTCTGCCTCTAAACCATTCCTGCTCACCTCAGCCTCCTCTCCGGCCACCCGCCGCTTGGGTCCTCAAACGTGTGTCTCCAGGCCTTTGCCTGTGCTGTGCTCGGCCAAGAGCACACTCCCTTCTTGCCCCTTGGCCAAGACCCACTTGCTCTTTACAATTCAGGTCCGAGGATCACCTCCTCCCAGAGCCTGCTCCCAGGGTCCGGCCGGCTTGGCCGGGGACCTCTTCGGTGCCAACAGATGCTGGGCTTCCTGGGTCCCGGGCCACTGCCGAGCCTCCTGCTGGTTCTGTATGTGCCCAGAAAGGAGATGCCTCCTCACCCAGAGAACGGGGACCGATCCAAGCTCTCGTCATGGTGCCTGCCGTTGGCGAGCGGCCCCTGAGCTGAGGACTCATCAGCGGAGCCTGCTGTATGTCGTGTGTCTAGTTTCATAGCTTTTCTGCTCTCTGTCAAACTGCCATGGTTTTTACTGTCAATGGCTCACACTTAATTTTCCATCTATGGGGTACAGTAGGGTGGGAACCCGATCAGCTTATTAGAATTGTGTATAAACATAGAATGAATAGCCTCCGAGCGAGGTCCAAGGGATTTGCTGATGAAAAGGCACTGGGCCTGCCATGCTTGGAGTTTGTGGGACTGCTGTTGGGGCGCTGGATTAAGTCCACCTGCCTGAAGCCATAGCACTGGTCGGGGTGGTGGGGGGAAGCTGGGCCTGGAACCAGGTCTGTCTGGACTCCACAACCAGTGCTCTTGGAAATCCTCTTTCCTGCCCCTCCGCTGCCCTCCAGAAGCTGGTCAATCTCTACTGCACATAATCTCTGACCCATTTCTTTCTTCACCTGTCACATGGGGATCATGGGCCTGCTGGAAGGTTCTCATCAAGTCTCCCCAGGACCAGGAGGATCCATCCTATCTATCGTCACTTTGGAGTCATCACTCCTGGCCATTTGGCTTCTTCTGCCCTAAAGGAGAACTTTCTCCTTAGACTCAAGTGTCCCCGGCGGCACATACCTTCCCCCGGAAACACAGTCATTCCTGCTGACGGGACGGGCTGGGCTGGGCTCAGGTTCTACCCCACACAACAAGGCAGCCTCCCCAGACGGAGGCCTCTGAGCGGGACTCGGCCTCCCCAAAACACCTGTTCCAAGTTCCCCTGGTTCCTGGAGCAGCGAGCTATCCCTCAGAACTGGCTTTGCACCCATTTCAGGGGATAGTGGTGACACCCCGGCGGGTCTGGGACAGCACTGAGGTGTGTCCCAAGGCCTCTACCATGAGTCATTGTGGCTCAAGAACCAGCTGTCTGGAAGGTCAGCAGCCAGAGGGCTCTTTCCATTCCCAATCCTATAGTGTTTCCCACCTCGGGGCTCCCCAGAGGCCTTAAGGACTGTCTCCAGCCCTCCCCACCTCCCAGCAAGGCCCTGCCCGATGGACTAGACCCCCGCCAACCCCTATACCTCACCCCTGCACTCACCCCCTTGCTCTACACCAGCGCTACACGCCTCTCTCTGGTCCTCAGACATGCCTGCCATTCCCACCACAGGGCCTTTGCACAAGCTGCTCTCTCTGCCTGGAGTCCTCTTCAGCCAGCTTTCAGAAAGACCTCAACTCTACCACCATCCAAAAGGCTTTTTCTGACTGCCTGATCTCACCCCTGCCCAAACCTCTTGTCGCTCGCCTTTCTCCGTGTTGATCTCCCCCACAGTACTGACCACAATCTGAAACGATCACGTGAACTCACTGTCTCCTCTATGCTTGAAGACCCCTGAGTTCCCAGCGCCTGGCAGACAGTAGGCACTCGACAAATCCCTACTGAATCAATACTGAAGGAGGGAAATAGGGGATTACCCCCATCTTGCAGAGGAGAAAACTGAGGCACAGAGAAACTAAGAAGCTTGCCCCAGGCTGCATGCTTGTTAAGGGACATATTTAAACTCAGGCCCGCTGACCGCAGACTCCACGCTGTAAGCCCCGCTGCTCGGGTCTCCCCAGAGGCACAGACTCCCACGGGAAGCTCAGCAGCCCCACACATTAGAGGCAGCCAGGACAGGGGAGCACGGGGACAGTGTACAATTTCAGGATTGCGTGTCCTGGCCAGGAGTGGCTTTTCCCAGCAGAACTTTGCCAAAGGAGGACAGAGAAACTGAAAAACTGAGCCCTGTGCGCCAGGATTTTGATTCCCCACGGCTGCTGGCTGGGCCGCTCACTTCTCAGCTGTCCAGTGGGGAGTAGGACCACCTGCATGTCTGGCTGTGGACAGAAGGCGGTCCCAACTGTCCTGTGACAAGTCACTTGTGCTAAGCCCTTGCTCTGTGCCTGGCACTCTGCTTTGGGCTTTGCATGCACTGCTGCTCGGTAAGGTACAAAACTTCCAGGGACCTTTTTGCAGATGGGGCAAATGGGGCCCAGAGAGGGCAAGCTGCTTGCCTAAGGTCACACAGCTGGGAAGCAGCGGGCATGGAGTCCGCACACAGCCCACTCTTGCCATGGCTTCCTGCAAGCCTAGTACTTGTCCAGGGAGAGGCAGATGTTCATCAATCAGCATGTTTCCTTTTTCCTTTTGGCGTCTGGATGTGGTTTCATTCTGAACTCAGGACTTCAGAAAATGAAACCGAAGCCAGAGTAACTGTCACTGTCGGTAGTGAGGAGAACCCACGTGTGCTCAGCGACTTGTGCCTGACTCACCATGGCTTTCACAACCAGGAATTGGTCAGCAGGGAGGAGGGGGCCAGGCCCACTGTACAGGCAAGGTCATGGACACTCGAAGACGGACTCGGAGCCACAAAGGGTGAGGTGGAAGCCTCCTCGAGCTCGTAAATGAGAGGGAAGCCGGCAGAGCTGTCCCCACTCTTCCCGAGGCGGGCTCCGGATACAAATGAGTCTCTGATTTCTTTGGCATCTACAGTTTTTTCTAGCAAACACACCAGGATTTGAGATCACCAGGAATTGGGGGGAGGGAGTTTACAGCACAGCGGACAAGGGCGAAAGCTCTAGAGGTCAGATATCCTAGAGAGGAATCTCAACTCTCTCCCTTCTGAGCTGTGTGCACCCAGGCAAGTGACTCCCCTTCTGAGCCTCAGTTTCTGTATCTGTAAAACGGACAGATTGGATGGTTGTACCAACCCAATGATCTAAGGACTATAAAGCATTTAGCACACAGTCAGCTTAGGCCAATATATCACAGGTATCGGTAAATGCAATGAAGGAGGGGGCTCCACACAGGCATGGATGGGAGTGTGGCAGCAAGGGGGGAGCTGTGAGAAGGCAGCCCCAGTCCCCACGAAAAGGGGTGACTCTCCCATGTAGCCATGGAAGCTATCAATGGGGGTTAGTGGGGCATATGGACCAGCAGCTATTTATAGACTTCCCTCTGCCCAGAGGCCTGCCAAGGAGACATGCTGGCAGGAAGACAAATCTTGCAGAAGCCAGCCCAGCCTGCTGGCCTTCCCTGGGCCTGGACCCCCGCCCCCAGCTCCAATGAGGGGGAGGTGCTACCCTTCCCCACTGCCGGCATCCAGGGGCCTGGCTTATCCCCACAAAACTAGGTCCATGTCTTCTCCGGCCTGTGTTCCTGGGGTTAGGGATTCTAGAATGGGCCGGAGGGATGAGGCCACATGGTTTCGGGCTCCAACACGCAGCCACACTCACAGGTGCCCCCAGAGGAACAACAGCAACAGCAGTAACCTGCTGAACGCTTACGCTCCCCAGGGGCTGCTCTAAGCACTTGACCCATAATCACTCATGTTAATCCCTGCCGCCAGGAAGGAGGCACGATGTTTTTTCCTGTATCACAGAGGAAGAAACCAAGGGAGGGGGCTTAATTACATGCTCAGAGTCATAGGGCTAGAGAGGTGTATGGCTGAACTGGAATCCAGGTAGTCTGGGTCCACGGTCTGGCTTTTCATCACTACTTTATATTTTATTCATCACCCACCACAGGGCACAGCACCCGCAGATGCTCTGGAATGCCCACAGCCCCTGACCACCAGCACACGCATGCCTCTCCATCCTCTGTCCCACCGCCCTGCACACCAATGCACGCACGTACTCACACGCACACACACTCTCAACACAGGATGACGACATCGATGCTGCCAACACACATCCAGGGAGCTGATGGGGTCCTAAGCAAGGCTGGCTCTGGGCCACCCCCTTATGTTCAAGAGGAAACACAGGCAGCCTGGGGCCAGGGAAGGAAAGCGCCAAGGAGGCAGGCAGGAGGACCTGGCACCCATCTGGACTTCAGACAGAGGCCTGGGCTGCAGCCTGAGAGCAGCCCATAGAGGGCAGTGTGTGCCAGTGTGAGAAGGCTGGTGGAGCCCCCAGCCTGGCCTGTCTTCTGTGTAACCCTGGGTGACCCGGAGACTACCCACTCACTAGCCCCAACCCTTATTTGTTCTTTCTTTCCTTCAAAAATACACGTGCCAGCCAGGCACCTAAGGCGTACCTTGCCACGACAGGATCGTGGGTCACATGCAGGAATGTACAAATTATAGCTGGCACCATCAAGCCCCCATGGTCCCAAGCCAGAGTATGAGTGCCAGGTGGGGTGGACACTTGACCCAGCAGCGGAGGGGGGTGGCGTGGGGGGATGGGGGGGTGGACATGGACTCTATAGGGAAAGGAGGGCAGGCCAGGAAAAGACAAAGTAGGTTTTTGGAATCATCACATCAATGAACTATGTTTTTGTTGGGCTTCAAAGTGCGTTTGGAGGTGCCCAGCCATTCCTCTCCCCAAAATAAGACAGAAGGGCACGCTCGTCCAGAGCTCCCCATCTGCCAGTCGCTGCAGATCACAGCGCTTCCCCCAGGGCCTCAGTTTCTCCAGCTGCTCCCCGGCAGGGAGGGCGAGCCAAGACTGCCGCCGGGACCTTGACGGCCCCGCCCGGTTTCCGAGGAACTCGGATCCGCGGTCGAGGCGCCCTTCTCGCGCCTCCGAAGGGTTCCTCCGAAGCCTGTGGTCAGGCCACCGCTTCCTGGGAAGCCCAAGCCAAGACCAGGGACAGCGACAGGCTAGAAGGGGTGCAGGGGCAGCTGCCTGAGGGTTCGGGGCTGCAGGGGGTGGGGGGCAGGCGGCTGGGGGAGCAGCCCCGAGGGGCCAGGTCCGACGCCGGATCTGCAGGCAGGAGCCCAGATTCGGGCGGGGAGGGGTCTGACTCAAGGAGAGCAAAGGACAGAGATCTACCAGAGACCGGTGCTGAGGCACCTGGCGGGCGGCAGAGAGGGATGTGTCAGGGCCAGTCCAGAATACCCTAAGGGCTTGGCTGCAGAAATCTGCGACCTAGGGTGGTAGTGGGGGCACAGGTGGGGGCTTCAGGTGCGGAGGGGCCATCCGAGTGATAGCGGGTCCAGGGGCGGGACCAGAGCCCTTGATGGGGGGGGTCCTAGGGCGAGTGTGAAGCTGGATCAGTGAAGGGGTGGGCCGGGAAGGGTCCCCAAGTGTGTGGAAAAGGTCGAGCTCGTGCGGCTCTCGCCGCGCGTCACGGCGGAAAAAGAAACCGAAAGTGGCGCGGCAGGGCGGGGCCCGCGGGGGTGGAGCCTGAGGGGGGCGGGACCGCCACCGCCGGCGGGCCACACCTCCCGGCCAGTTTAAAAGACTGGTGCAGGGGCGGGCGCCGGAGCAGAGCGAGCTGCGGCCGTGGCAGCTGCACGGCTCCCGGTCCCGGAGCATGCGCGAAAGCCGCCCCGGAGCCCCCAGCCGCCCCGCCCGCGGCGCCCCGCGCCCCGCCGCCAGGTGAGCCGGGCACCGGGCAAAGAAGCGGGAGGGAGCGGGCAAAGAAGCGGGAGGGAAGGGGGGAGGACAGGACAGGAGACAGCAGAGGACGGCCGAGTGTCGGGCGGGCCTCGGGGGCTGCGTGATAGGGTCGCGGCCGCCACGCCCCTGGCCCCCGGCGGCCCCACCCTGGCAGTCCCCCGCGCGCGGGGTGTCCGCAGCGCAGCTTTTCTGTCTTTGCCCAAATCGCTCGGACGAGGCGCCAGTCCCCGGCCTGGCCAGCAGGCGGCGGCCGCGGGGCGGCGAGCCGAGGGCCGGGTGGCCGGAGTCGGGGCAGGTTTCTCCCTGCACCTCTCTCCACGCCCCCCTCTTACCCAAACTCCGAGCGAGCCGGCGGCCGGACTCCGCCCCGGCCGGGCCCCCACCCTCCCGGAGGGGATGCGTGGACGGGGAGGCCCATTTTCTAGGTGAGCCCGCGGAGGCTCCCGGGGGCCGCGCCGACTAGGTCCTGCGCCCTCGGCCCTTTCGGGTCGGCTCCCTCACCTGCCCGGGCCCGCCCCGACTCTCGGCTCACCGCCCGTGTCTCCCCCCAGCGCACCCCCGGACGCTATGGCCCACCCCTCCGGCTGGCCCCGCGTGTAGGATGGTAGCACACAACCAGGTGGCAGCCGACAATGCAATCTCCACGGCAGCAGAGTCCCGACGGCGGCCAGAGCCTTCCTCGTCTTCGTCCTCGCCCTCGTCCTCGGCGGCGCCCGCGGCCCCCGCGCGCCCGCGGCCCTGCCCGGCGGCCCCGGCCCCGGCCCCCGGCGACACGCACTTCCGCACGTTCCGCTCGCACGCCGAATACCGGCGCATCACCCGGGCCAGCGCGCTCCTCGACGCCTGCGGCTTCTACTGGGGGCCCCTGAGCGTGCACGGGGCGCACGAGCGGCTGCGCGCCGAGCCCGTGGGCACCTTCCTGGTGCGCGACAGCCGCCAGCGGAACTGCTTCTTCGCTCTCAGCGTGAAGATGGCCTCGGGCCCCACAAGCATCCGCGTGCACTTCCAGGCCGGCCGCTTCCACCTGGACGGCAGCCGCGAGAGCTTCGACTGCCTCTTCGAGCTGCTGGAGCACTACGTGGCGGCGCCGCGCCGCATGCTCGGGGCCCCGCTGCGCCAGCGCCGCGTGCGGCCGCTGCAGGAGCTGTGTCGCCAGCGCATCGTGGCCACCGTGGGCCGCGAGAACCTGGCGCGCATCCCCCTCAACCCCGTCCTCCGCGATTACTTGAGCTCCTTCCCCTTCCAGATCTGACCGGCCGCGCACGCAGCATTAACTCGGCCGCCTTGGTACTGTTTTGTATTAATGATTTCCCTGGAACCACGTGGGTGCCCTCCCCGCCTGGGTTGGAGGGAGTGGGGCGTGGGGGCGAGGCGCGTCCCCCTCTCCGCTGGAGACGAGGCCGCAGACCCCTCCCCATCTCTTGGGGGGGGTGCCCCCCCTCCTGGTGCTCCCTCTGGGTCCCCCTGGTTGTTGTAGCAGCTTAACTTTATCTGGGGCTAGGACCTGAATTTATACCTCCTACCTCTTCATGTTTACATATACCCAGTATTTTTGCACAAACCAGGGGTTGGGGGAGGGTCTCTGGCTTTATTTTTCTGCTGTGCAGAAAACTATTTTATATTTTTTACAACCAGTTTAGGTAATAAACTTTGTTATGAAAGTTTTTTTTTTTTAAGAAAAAAAAAAAGGTTTCTAGAGCGTGTGCTTTTGCTCAAGGGACTCCCTTGGTTGTGAAAGGGTCCAGGGCAGAGGGGTCCTAAGACTGACCCGTGTGGCTTGAAGGGAGTGGGACGCATGTCCTGGAGGCTGGGGAACCTGCCTGGTTCCACTCGCAGCTCCCGGGGGAAAGGAACAGCCGGTCCAGTTGTATTTTGTGTTGGGTAAAATGGCAGCTGGTGTTTGAGCACTTAAAGTGTGCCAAACCCTCTTCTGTGTTCCACGGATAGCCCTAAAAGCAAGGCTCCTATCCTCATTTTTTTACAGAAGAGAAACCAAGGCAGGGGTCCATTTGCCTGTGGCCACTCCTGAAAACACTGGGGCCTTTTCTGGCCGTCCACCCAGAATCTGTTTGAAATGGATGACAGAGAAGAAACTTCTTTCATTCTGTGATCACAGCACCTTCCAGGAAGAAGGTGGGGGTGGGGTGGGGGCTTGGTTAGGTTTTGGAAGGAGGAGTGGCACATTCTGAAACCAGGCGTGGAGAGAGACCGATTTCAGATGGGATGGGGGTATAGGACTTCATCCTTCCTGCCCTCTTCTCTCGTGTACTTTTTGGTGAACACACCACTTGGAGCCAGAAAAATGCTTTGCGGTCTGTGGTGGCAGGAGGGCCCTGCTAGTGGCTTTGGGCAATTCCCTTTGCCTCTCATGGCCTCAGTGTCTACCTCTAAAATGGGTTTGCTGGAGGAGGTGGTGGCCGTGCATCACGGACGAGGCCAAGCTCTCAGGAGCCGGGGGAGGGGAGGGTGGCTGCAGGGCACTTCGGGGCTGGCAAACATGGCCAGAAAGTGCCCATGACACGGGCTCAGTGGCTACCCCCGAGGCCGTGGCCTGACAGATAAGCCATGCCGGCAACCTGGGGCTGGGTGGCCACACCTGGTGAATTGAGTCACTTTCAGGTTTAGGGTGAAACAGCCTCACGGACATGTTGCGCTTCATTTTTAGAAGTTGGACTGGCCCTCGGCAGCCTTGGACGTGCTGATGATGGAGTGTCCTAATATTTAATAATACCTTTCAGGCTTGAAAGTGCAACATAAAATTGATAGAGAACTGGAACAGCCCAGGCCTGTCTTGGGGATTAAATAGGTTCCAGGCCTCAAGGTTAAGGATGGCCGGGAGAGATTTAGGATCTCAGAGAGCTTTGGCAATTGCATCCTTTAAAAGGTGGGGTGGGATGGAAGGTGGTGATGCCTTCTCTCCATGCCTCTAAGGAGCGACTGCTTTTCTCTTCACCACCTCCCTGCCCTTCGTTCACTGCTGTGTGGATCAAGTCCCGTCGTTCTGCTGACTTTCCCTGTCTCACCCCCCACACCCCTCAGCGTGGGTGCCTGGAGAAACAGGGAGAAATCCAAGAAGGCACTGCTTGGGCATCCCGCAGACACAGCGAGCGCTTAACGGTATGGGGGGTCCTGTGCTACCTTGTTTGATCTTCCCAGCCCGCCTGTGAGTTAGAAACCTCTCTCCCACTTTACAGAGAGCAAGACTGAGGCTCACGAGAGGCAAAGTAGGGCACACGATAAGTGGCAAAACCAGATTTTCAAACTTAATGCCGTTTCGGAGGCTGGGTACCACTCGGCAGCCTGGCCTCCCAGCGAGGGCCTAACAGGTAGCTGCTGCCAGCATTTATAAATAGCATGATTATGCAGGGGCCGTTCTAGCCCCTAGTACCTATATGAAAACACTCAATCTTTCCCCCCAGCCTTATGATTTGGGTACTGTTAACATCCGCATTTCACAGATGAGGAAACAGGTCCTCATCTAAAGAGAAACAAATTCGTTTACAATATTTACAGGGCTTTTTCATCCTTCTAAAAAAAAGTTTTAAAAATTACATCCTCACTGCACAAACCCGCTCCCCTTATAAAACCGGGAGCGGGACGGCGAAGAATAAAGGCCCCTCTGATCACATTCCCCAGAGCCGGCCCCTTCTCTTTGTGCGTCTTTTTTAATCTATACTAACATATGTACAGTGACCTAAAGTGACCCAAAAGCCCCCGGGAGCCACGCACCACCCCGTGTGACTGTGATCTTGTGCACACACACCTGGCCGCAGAGGAAAAGCATGGGGGGCGGGGAGGATTGGCGGGGGGAGGGGGAGCAGAGAAGCGGTGTGTGCTATGCGGCTTCCCTGGCGGGGCAGATGCTCTCTCAAACCTCAGCTTCATGATTCAGCAGGACTGACGTCAATTTACAAGAATGAAAAGTGAGAGGAGAGTCGGTGCACGGCAGCAGGGGCAGGGTCGGGGGCCCAGGTGCGGCTGAGATACCCTCCCCTCTGAGAGTGGGTGAGCTGGGCATCGTGGGGCAGGCAGAGAGCAGGAAAGCAGCAGCTCTGGGGCCCGATGGGGGAACAGGTGCGGGAATGGCTGCAGACCTGCACCCAAGCCGCCCCTGGGCTGGGGACTCTGATCCCCATTTTTAGAGATGAAGAAATGGAGGCTCAGAGAAGTAGAGCCACTCACTCAGGGTCACACAGCTCCAAAGTGACAGCCAAGACTCACCCCAGGTCTGACCCACTCTAAAGGCAACTGGTTTCTTAAGGAGTGGAGGAGGAATCCTGGGAAAATGCATATTCACAGGTCTCACTTCCACCTGCTCGATCGTCCCAAGCTTATGAGCGGAACTGTTACTGCCCCCCCCAAGCCCAGGCAGGAGGAGAGCTGAACCTCTTGCTGGGGTGGTGCATGGAAGGTGGCAAGACATCAGGGCTCAGTAGATGATAGCTGAGCTCCATAGAACACACATTCCCCGAGCACCTACTATGTTCCAGGCATTGCTCTGAGCCCAAAGGATCCAGGAATGAACGGTCCCTGCTCTTGTGGCATTAACACCCAGACACCCAGGGCCTTGGACAGTAAATAACACAGGAGGAAACTAAAGGAACAAGAACATTCCAAGTAGTGACAGCACTCGGATTAAAGCTCAACAAGGTGGTCGGACAGTGGGGTGGGACTCTGTTAGAAAGGTCAGGAAGGCTCCTCTGGGGTGACACTGAAATCATGCCTGGAATGACAGGAGGAGCCAGCCCAGACACCATATTCCAGGGCCAGGGAACCGCAAGTGCAAAGGCATCTTGGGTTGGGAACCAGTTGAGCCTGCTGCAGAACCTGCAGAACAGAGGCCGGCGGAGCTGGAGGGGACGGAGTGGAGGCAAGTGCAGGAGGGGAGGAGGGATGGGTGGGCAGGGGCCGGAGCCGGGTAGGCCATGGTGACCACGGGGCACTGGCAGTGTGATGGGGAGCCTGGGGTGACCTGATCCATTCTGTGTTGTGACCAGACCCTCTGGCTAAGGCAGGGAAGCCTGGGGAGATGGCCTTAGGCTTCTTGCCTTCTGGGCAGACTTGGAGATGCAGTGGGATGGGGGCGTGGCTTATTCTTAACCAGACCCCTCAGCTCTCACCAATCAGGAGAGGCAGGGACAGCCAGCCACAGGACCTGCCTGGCCAAGCACTGGGACGGAGTGTGGACCAGGTCTGGAGTGCCCAACCCTGGGCAGACATCAGTCAGAAACCCCAAGCCTGGATCTAACAGAGCCCCTGGGCATGGCCCAGTGAGGGGCTTCTTGGAGCAGGGGTCCCGCCGGCCACCTGTGCTGGGCAGAGCCGGCCTCCACTTTGGGGAAGAACGTACAGCACCTGGAAGGAGGTGGCTTGGGTCCTCCACCACCATCATCCAGAGACTCCCCGGGGCTCAACATGCACGTGGCCTGATTCTGGAGGGCCTCAAGGTCCCGCAGAGTGCAGTCTTCAAGGAAGCCAATTCACACAAGGACAAGGGTGCAAGCGGGCGGCGCTCACCCTGCCCCTCCCAACCGTGCTCTTGGCCCTGGGGCCTGGCTGTCCGACAGCCTTCATGGGAAATTTGGGTTCCACGCTCTCCACTGACTGCTTCTCCGCCGTACTAACCTCCTCCCCACCCCCCACCCCCACACATACCCCATGTGCGGTCGGCAGCGCCAAGCCCCTGTCCTCCAATGCTCCCGCCGTGCTCAGGAGGAAGCCCCCCTCCCACAAGGACTCACGAGGCCTGCAGCTGCCCCCCCAACACACGCAGCCCACGTGTCTGGCCTCAGCACTCACCGCTCCCTCCTGCCACCGGGCCTTTGCACACACCAGGCCGCTCCTCGTACGTCGTGGGGGGTGTGTCCCAGCCTGGGCAATGTCGCCCGCGCCCAAGGCCCCAGGGCTCCGAAGGGCCCCGCGCTCAGGGCCGCCACTTGCGGCGCGGGCCCATGACGTCACGGCCCCGCCCTCACCTGCAGGCAGGGGCCTCCAAGCAGGCTCTGGGGGCGGCGCTCTCCGCCCCCGCTTGGTCCCAGCGCCCCCCTGTGGGTGCCGCGCGCTGGCCGTCTTGGGGCTCCCAGGGCCCTGGCGATACCCCTGAGGCCCAGAGGGTACACGTCCTAAAGAACTCGGGGACCGGAAAGCACTTCCACCCGATCCCAGTCCACACCGACCCTGGACCGCCCCAACTCACCCAGCCCTTAGGTTCTGAACACTATCTTCCTCGCTTGGAAATGACGAATAGCTGTACCCACCCCGGGGGGGGGGGTGAAATTAAGTAAAGGGGTACCGATTAAGGGCTTAATACACCATAGTATCCAATAATTGGGACTGGCCCTCTCTGCTTCTTGATTCTTGCACTAATGTTTTTTTTTTTTTTTTAAGATTTTATTTATTTATTTGACAGAGAGACACAGTGAGAGAGGGAACACAGGCAGGGGGAGTGGGAGAGGGAGAAGCAGGCTTCCGGCCGAGCAGGGAGCCTGATGTGGGGCTCGATCCCGGGACCCTGGGAAGGCAGGCGCTTAACGACTGAGCCACTCAGGCACCTGCACTTCCACTGTTTTAAAATAATGGCCATTTACTAAGCACCTCCTGGATGCTAATACTTAGGCCAGGCTGCCTTGCAAAGAGACAGGCTCAGAAAGGCGAAGGGATTGCCCCCATGAGTGTGTAAATAGCCAAGGCACTCTGACTGCTTGATGCCCAAGCCCATGATCTTATCCACTGCAATGCTCAACAGTTCATATGTCTATGTCTCGTTTCTGCCGCTTAGGACCACCCTGGAGGATGCTCACAGCCACAGAAGCAGCCAGGGCTCAGAGCATCTCACTTGCCTGTCCTTTCCCCACAACACAGGCTGGAGAGGCAAGAGAGGCGGTAGGCTGGTACCGTCTGTGCAAGGCTATGTCTGGATTCAAGCGTCGGAGAATGGCAAGGGCCGCCTGGTCATCAGAAACCCTGGCGAGCAGCTCTGGGTCAGCTCTGGCAGCTGGTGGGGGCCATGGATGCAAATGAGGATGAGCAAGGACAGGGATGCTATGAGCCAGATAGCTGGATCCTGTGCAAGAGCAGGCCTGGGAGGGTGACATTCAGGGCTGGCCCCACCTGGGGGCCTGCAGGGGCCTGTGTGGTGAGCCATGTACTCCCTGTCACACCTGGCTGCATCTGGGAAGCGCAGCCAGAAGTATGATGAGGCAGAGGAAGGCAAAGGGCCTGTGTAGGTCAGCCTTGGAGGGCCCCTCCCCACCCACGGTTTGCTCTGGGAGGCAGCTTGGAGGAGCAGAGACAGCCGGGCCCCAGGACCTGCGTTTGAGCCCTGCCTCTGTGGACTGTGTGACTTCAGTGACCTCACCCATACAATGAAAATTAGACTCAGACCCCCTCTGCCCTGCTTCACAGGGCCATGAGGATCCATGGTTCAATATAAATGGAAACAAAATGGATCACCACCCAGATAGAGGAATTACAAGAATTCCTTATTGTTTTGCATCACAGAGACGGCCCAGGCGTCTTTGAATCAGCATAGGCATTAAGTCAGGCAAACCTGGTTTTATTCTCAGCTTGCCATTTATGAAGAACACCAGGGACTCCCTGCTCACCCACATCAGATGCTCACTGCACGCCCCTAGGCATCATTGTATGTCATCCATGCCCATTATCTCATTTAACCCTTGCAAGAGCCCTAGGGAACAGGTGTAATTATTACCATCCTCATTTTGCAGATGAAGCCGTTGAGCACAGAGAGGTTAAATAGAGTGCCCAGGGTCACACAGCAGGCAGGTAGCGGAGGCCAGGGCATTCGAACGCGGGCAGCCCGAGTTTATAACCATTTCCTCATTTGATGCTCCAGGCCAAGCTCCTGGAGCTCCACTTGTATGATCTTTGCCAGACCTATCCAGGTGCCATCTGTTCTGTTATTCAATTATTATCTCCTTCAAATCGAGTCACTTGGTTTCCCTAAGTGAGCTTCATTACCACGCAGGGCAAGCCAGCGAGAGGCAACCCCGGAAAAAATGTAGTGCAGTCCCAACAGCGTTTATGTTCTAGAACGCTGCATCTTGGTGTCTGGCTCCGCTGTGACGGGTCCGCTCTGTGTTTGGTTGGGAGGGAGGGAGAGAGGGAGGAGGGGGGAGTGACAAGTGTCAGAGAGGTTCAGAGAGGTGCATAGGGTGTACTAGCACCCATCTCAGACCTTCTGGACTTCGGCAGAAAGATCCCGAGAGGATGCAAAGGGGAACTCGCTGTCTTTATGGCGGGGTGGCGGGCGGGGGCGGTGCGGGGTGGAGGTTCTATGTTTTATAAAAATGTTCCTGCGTCCCACCGGGAGATCGTCATGCAGAGAGCCTCGGGGACCCCTGTCCCACACCGGGGAGACAGGGCCCGGCACGACTGCCAGCTGTGTGGCCCAGGCAAGCAATGCTTTCGCTGACTCTGAGTCTTAGTGAAATGGGGTAAACATCTGGATCTCAGAGGGTCCGGAGGCATGAAAGGCAGGGCTATAAATGATTCGGGGTGCAGAGCTCGAGATCAATAAGAGGCAGGAGCCTGCAGGACAGGCTGGCCCCGTGTCAGAGGTGACACGGTGAAACCCCTGCCTGCCCAGCCTGGGCTCTTTGGTG